TCCCCCCAGCCTCGCTTTCCCAGTCCCAGCGCTCTGCTCCTCCTGTCAGCTCCCGGCCGGCCTCGCTTTCCCAGTCCGAGCGCTCTGCTCCTCCTGTCAGCTCCCGGCCGGCCTAGCTTTCCCAGACCGAGCGCTCTGGTCCTCCTGTCAGCTCCCCCCAGGTGGCCTGGCTTTCCCAGACCCAGCACTCTTGTCCTTCTGTTAGCTCCTTATTCTTTCCCTTACTCTTCGTTTTCAGCCCAGCTTTGCCTCTTCTGGCATGTAGTGGAGACATGATGCACACTTGTTTAATTGATAAACAATGAAGTGGTAGGATGGGTTTACCTGCATAATTTCATTGGTGTGTGATACCAAGGAGCAATGAAATGCTGAACTTGAGAGAATATTTAGTAGTACATTGGCAGGAATTTTAATAAATAAATTAAAAATGAATACATAAAATAAATATATTTGAAAAATTAAATCTATTTGATTTCTTAGATTTGAAGTTATGTTGTTATGCGCTTTTATTTTGTAAATATTATCTATAATATATATTTTTTGTTAATGTTCTCAGTTTCTAATCCTACAAGGACATGATCAGCCAATTACTGCTGTGGCTTTTGGAAATAAAGAGGACCCGCTTCTGATCTGCTCTGCATCCCTGGACTGTATTATAGTGTGGAGCCTGCAAGAGTGTAGAGAGAAAGTACTTCAAGGTGAATGAAAATTTAAAACATTTTAAAAAATGCACAGAGGCATAACTCATCCTTAAGTAGACCAGGGGCCCTGGGATCGGTTTTCACTTTCTTAGCCTTGAAGCTAGACGTTCTAAGGAGATGCTCGGGACGGGCCGTCTGATATTCGGCTCATTAGCTTTAATCTTATGTAACTTCTTATTGTAGAAACAGAATTGGGTATATACCCTAAAACACATAGGCATGTTGTAATATTCTTTCCTTGCATGACCAAGGATTTCTGGAGCACATAAGCTATTCCAGGCTGGAGTCACAGTGGTGACTGAGAAGGGCTTGCCGAGCCACTAGGAACTGACAGTTTAGCGTTTGTGACAGATGAAACAAGGTGTGAACAGGAAGGTCAGTGGTTACAGATCATGGGCCATGCAGTAGACAAAGCAGATAGATAAGGGCCGGAGAGGGAATGAGGGTGGGAGGCCTTTTGTGTGATGAGATTTCTGGGAGAAAACTGTGGGGTGGACATGAGAAGGGGCTGGATGGTGGAGGGTTGTCCTGTGTGGACAGGTAAGGGTCAGGATATGTATGCAGGGCACGTGTCCTGGTGCCGTACCTAAGCTGTGGACACCTGGCTGTAGACATGTCCACACAGCCCCTCCCAGGGTCACGTGGCAAAGCTTAGGAATGGGCTGGGGGCTCACCTTGAATCTGGGGTCCCTCGGCAGCTTTCTCCCACACACTTGGCTTTGTGGCCTGGGACTGGTGGCCTGCCTGGAGCTGTCCTGGGAGGTGTGCAGAGCCCTGTTGCTGAGGTGCAGAGGGCATGCCTCCCACCTATCCCCTTAAAGTCATAAGGCCCAGCCCGGAGCCAGGGGGACGGAGGGAGACACAGAATGCTCCTGTGTTGCTGGGAGAGTCGGATGAACTGACACCAATGGTGGAATTTGCTCTAGGGCTGGCCCCTCGAGGGACTACCGTGGGCATGCTTTCCAGAGCAGTGCTGTATTTAAGGTGGAGCCCAGATGATCAAATTGTTGCCACATGTGCTGGAAACAGAATATTCCTACTGGATGTCAAGGTGAGCCTGAGTGTCCTGTGAGCAGTCTGTAGTGGGCAGTTGCCTGGGCCCTGCACATTGTTTTTTCTGCCCTTCTTTTAATTTTTCTACCCTTATTTTTAAGCACTATTTTAAACTTGGCATATTTTAATAAACACTACATATGTTAGAAAAAAACAAATGAAAACATAATTTTATCTTGTTAGGAAAAACAAATGAAAACATATCTGTATCTCCTAACTGGAAAGCTACTAGAATTAGGTATTGGTTTTTATATAAATTGTAAAAACTTTATGTGGGATCTGGGTATCTGAGATGACTATAGACAAGTTCAGTGAAACACTTACTTGTTGGGTATTTTCCTACTTCAGTGATCTCTTCAAACCCTTGTAGTACTTTTGTTTATCTCTTTTATCAAAATTTGCTTCTCATCAAGAACTAGACTTTTTTGCTTATTTCTTAATTGGGATTGGTTTAAGTAAATGTGTTACCTCCTCCAAGGTTGCGTGATTTTATTTTATTTTATTTTATTTTATTTTATTTTTTTGAGACGGAGCCTCAAACTATCCCCCTGGGTAGAGTGCTGTGGCATCACAGCTCACAGCAACCTCCAACTCCTGGGCTCAAGCGAGTCTCCTGCCTCAGCCTCCCAAGTAGCTGGGACCACAGGCACCCGCCACAACGCCTGGCCATTTTTTGGTTGCAGCCATCATTGTTGTTTGGCGGGCCCGGGCTGGGGATTTGAACCCGCCACCTTAGGTGTATGTGGCTGGTGCCTTAGCCGCTTGAGCCACAGGCACCGAGCCGGTTGTGTGATTTTAAATCTGTAACCCCGGAGCTCTGCCCACAGTCACAAGTGTTATAAAGTAGGAGGTGGGAGTTAGTGGGAATACTGAGGGGGCACTTTTTGTTTCCTCTGAAGTTGTGTTCTGCTGGAGGCCTGTTTTGGAGATTATCAAAGCCTGGTAAACAGTCTCGGCTTCAGCTAACAAAGTTGTTTGCCTATGCTCGCTTTCCTTGCTCAGATTACTACCTAAGAAATGTTGATTTCCTTAAGGACTGACTTGGACTGTTGATGCCTCTGACATTTCATCTCGACACTCCATATTTTCTTTTTCCTGTGAAGGTGCACCCTCATTCTTTCAAATGCACATTTTGGCTTCTGATTATTTTTCAAATAATATTTTTAGAGCAATTTTTGTGAAACCATGGATAAGTCAAACAACTGAGTTATTTTTGAGTATGATTTCCATTGTGGAACCAGTGTAATGCAGACAGTTTGAAATATCAGCAGAGTGTCTGGGAAAGACGTGGCTGATGAACACACAGTATGTGGATGGCTGAGAAGTTCTATTCTGGTTATTTTAATCTTGAAATGAGCCATGTGAGTAACCTGAGACCAGGTGGATGATGATGAGCTGAAAGCAGCAGAAATCCATCCCAGCCTGCAGTGCCTCAGCAGCAAGGTGTGACACTACTGTTCCAACAGCATTGGACCATTTGATAGCAATCGGCAAGGTCAGGAAGCTGGACAGGTGGGTCCTGCATGGATTAAGTGAGAGTCAGAAGGGACATCATCCTAAAGCTTGCCTTTCTTTGCTGTCATGACATAAAGGTGAACCATTTCTACACTGCACTGTTATGTGTGATTAAAAAATGGATTATTTTTGATGATCATAAGCATTTGGCACAATGGTTGGATAAAGATAAAGTGATGAAAGACTGTCCCCAAACCAAATATTCATCAAAAAAAGCTAATGGTATCTGTTTGGTGGTCCAGTACAGGTATAACTCGTTATAGCTTCTTGAAATGTGATCAGTGAATTACAATGGATGTCCACTGTAACCAACGGGGTGAAATGAGGATGCTTGTGATTAAGCAACTGAGACTGGGCAATAGAGACAGACCATTTCTCTTGCAAGACAATGTGTGACCACACCTCACACATACAACCACTACTCAAACTACCAAGACTAGACTTGGAAACCCTCTTCTGTTACTGTATTCACCAGACCTTGCACCAACTGACTGCACTTTTTCCAGGCATTGGGCCATGTCTTGCAAGGAAAAATATTTCATTTTCAACAAGTTGTGGAAAGCACCTTGTTTGATTTCATAGATACTTGTCCTCCTAGCTTCTTGGCTACTGGCATAAACAAGCTACCATTATGATGTAAAAACTATGTCAACAATTTAGGTGCACTTTTTAATTAATTGCACTGCTTGTCTGAGATATGACAAACTAAACTTTTGATTTGAAATTGGACATTTCATATTTAATGACCTAAATATATTACCTTAAAAACTTAGATTAGGAAGGATGTTGAACATAAAATAATAATTGATTTTCATGGGTCTAATGTGTGGTAGTCAATTTGGGGATAAAGGGAGAAGAAATTTTTGTGTTGAAATAATTTTTGGAAACCATCCTGGAAATTTTGGTTCTCCAAAGAAGCTGCTATAACCAGTTAAGGCACAGGCAGGTGACAGGATATGCATACCAGGGAGGCTGAGAGGCTGCCTGTCACTTCAGAAGCTTCCTGGGTAATGTGATATTTGAGTTGTAAATGTTAAGATATTTTCTTGTAAGCATCTTATAGTAATTAAATGGATTAGCATTAGGCTACCCCACCATGTATTACATAATTAACCATTAAAATGGAAAGAATTAACATTGTTATGTTAGGAAAAAGAAAACCAAAATTAATTAGGAAGATGCTTAAAGTGTGAAGCACATGGCACAATGGGTGAAGTGCAACTAGAAGGTAGAAGGGGTCCATGTGGGCTTGGGTCTCTGCCACACATCCCACAGCCGTGAACCTGGCAGGTGGGGCAGCAGACAGCTGTGCCAGACCTGTACACAGCGTGTGCAAACCTTTCACGCTTTCTCAGTGCAGGTATGATGAGTTTAAGAAGATTTAGTGAGGGAAAATAATTTAATAGACGCGAGTTATGGGTTGCCAAGTAAATAAGGCCATGAATACTTTACATTTGTTTAATGGAATATTTAGCAAAGAACAGCTTATGAAATTTGATTTGAATGATTTCAAGTGAATACTGATTACTTTTTCATAAAGGTACTTTTTAATATACACGAAATAACATAGGTATAAAAATATTAAAGGCAAATAGTTTAAAATATTTTTCAGGATATAATATTCATAAATAAGTGACTAGCTTTATTTTACAAAAATTGAAAGAAATAGAAATGTCTATTTCATAATGGTCCCTTGACTGTCCCTTTAGGAAAAGGCACATTATAATCTTATTTTTTATTTTTTAACAATGTGATAGTAATTGACATAATAACCTCAGCAGTTATCAATGGCTATATGTTGCGTCATTAAAGAAAGTCTTCTGAGTTAAGTGTCTGTTTTCATTTTGTCACTGTGTATATGTGTGTGTATATATAGTTTTCTGAATGTAGTTAGGGGACATTTCTCCTGTCTAAGTTGTGCTTAAGTTCAAGGAAAATACCCCAGCCCCAGGTGCCTGGAGTCTAGTAGGCATGTTCCACAGGACACAGGTGTGACTTTTATGAATGTCCAATGTTCTCCTACTTTCTGTCTTGATCCTACTATGGAATTCCAGCTTATGACACTGACTTCTGGGGTGCTGCTGAGCTCAAGGGGTTTTAGGGATTCACAGAGTAAGGGGTAACTTGGCAGTGGCCATCATTGTGCTGTCTGGTTTTATTTTGGTGACAAAACGGAATAGAGAGCTTCTGAAGGAGAGGGTGCCTGGGGCAGGTCCATTCTGACTGATGGTGGGGGAGAGGAGGGTGGGAGAGGTGAGGCTGCCTCTGAGAGTCCAGGCAGCAGGACAGGCTCAAGACTCTGTGAAGGATGTGGGCAATGGGGAGGCAGAAGCTCCATGATCCTCAGGTCAGCTGCAGTTAGCTTTTTATCTCTTAAAATTGCTGACAGCATGGCCTATGATTTCACAGGTTTCCCTTGGAGCTCAGGCGTCTGAATTTTAATGTCTAGCTTTGTATAGGTGGGGTACTATGCAAGTTTTGAGACAGACTGTGTTACAGTCCAGGATCTCACAAAGCACAGCCGGCAGCGTCTTTTCTAACTCACCTGTGCAAGTTTCGACTTGCTCAGCTTATTGGTGTCGCTGAGAGGGCTTCATTTGTTTCCATCTGTGAGGATTTTATGCTTCTTGACTTTTGTGTATCTCAAAACTTTCGTAATGACCCACATACCGATAGTTCTAAATGTGGAAGAAGGAATCATACAGGGGACTTTAATAGCGGCTATTTTCTGTGTTACGCATATATCTTGGTGATAATAATAATTACTAGGAAGCTCAGCTACCATTTTCCTCCCCAAATCTTCTCAGGGTCTGTCTGTACTGGCTGAGCTGGGGGGCCACCTGGGCCCAGTGACAGCAGTGGAGTTCTGTCCGTGGGAAGCAGATACCATCATCTCAGTGTCTGAGGACAGAAGCTTTAAGGTGAGGGGTTGATGTCGGACTCTTTCAGATGTAACAAGGGCTTTAGACAAATATCTGTGGACACACTGGCCCAGTGCCTTTGGTTCCTGTACTGCCATGTAAATGGCTCTGTGTCTGCTGCATTTCTATAAGGTGACTGTTGTCCTGGTTTCCATACAGAAGTGGAGCAGTGGCTTTGGCTGGGTCACAAGGCTGAGGAGCCGGGTGTGGATCCTGCAGGACAAGCCTTGAGCCTCCAGCTTTCCCAGTCCCAAGTCCAGGGCTGGGTCAAGCAGTAACATTAATTTGTGTCCTAGCATTTCCTAGGGACCCAGAGCAAAAGGGACAGTCCTAGTATTAGAGGATTCAATCAGAAGTAAACTAGGCTCTAGAAGAACACAAACTAAGATGAAAGTGCAGTTTACGTCCAACTGGTTCCTGTGGACTGTCACAATTTTTGATTTGCACTTCTGTCTTGGGAGTGTCAGACAAATTTCTGGGAAGCATTTCTAACTTTGTCTTATGTTTGTGTTTTTCAATTTTTTCCCAAATATATATGGTTGGAAGTGTTAGTTTTTCTATAAACTTATGATATCTCTCATTGTTTTCTACAGTTTGACCATACCTGCTTATTATGTCATTTCCTGTTTTAGCCAATCCTTTTCACTGATTCCATGTGTTAGGCAGAATCGTTAGTTCAAGGTTTTGCAATAATGGCAACACTCTTACCTCTTCTAAAGAATCTTGTGTTTGTTCAAAGGTCTGGGACTGTCGTACAGGATTGGTGACATACACTTCATCTGTGTTAGCAGGTAAATATTTCCTGAAGACGGGCTACATGTAACTAGGAGCTCCTGTTCCCTGGGGCAGAACTGAGCCACGCAGATGGGTCTGACTCAGGCCCACCACCTATGTACTCCTATCCACATGTTAAAAGGACTCACTTAACACTTGTCCTTGAAGTTTTTAACTTAAAATTAAACATATGCTTGGAATCTGAGCCCTTCACCTCTCAGATGAAATGTCTGACCAGCGCAGGGCATGGCCAGCCTGCAGCAGCCCCATGGAGTGAAGCCTAGTCCTCTGGTGCTTGTGGCCAGGATCTCTCCCCACGGGTCCAGGGTGTGACTGGGAGCAGGCAGCACTCTGGCTCTGTGGTCGGGCAGTAAGCACTTGCAGCTTGTGAGTCTCAGGTGACTGTGGTCCTCAGAGTGCCTTTGTGGGGGTGGTTGAAACAGCACTGGGGCCACACAGCTACAGGACCACATGGCCTGCTAGGCAGTGCAAGGGACCAGCTTCAGTGACACCGATGCTTAAAGACAGATGTTCTTTATGTCCTCTCAACAGCGTATCCTCTTCTAAGTTTATTCATTGATGCAGAGAGCAAGCAGCTTATTACTGGGTGTGCTGACGGCCAGGTAGGAGAGCACACAACCAAGTCCCAGTGTTCAAGCATTGCTATAAGTGAACATGTGCACAGAAGGCCTTTACTTTCCTATTACTTCCTGATATGAAGAAACAGCCCCTCAGCGTGAAGCTCTGTAACCCTCTGTGGCTGCGTCCCTGGGGGCTGGGCCTGTCTGTGTCTCTGTAGCCCCCGGTGAGATCTTGGGTGTAGCAGGGGTTAGAAGTCACTTTCAGCCCTGTTAGTGTCAGTTTTACACATTTTTGAAAAATGTGAAGATATTTAAATTAATGTTTTTCTAAAGACTTTTTAGCGAGCATTTGACATTTACTTCACAAAGCCTAAATAAAATTGGTGTCGATATACTTTGGTAAAGTTATGTTTTTGGAAATTAAGATCCTTTTTTTGACAAAGTTGACTGCTGTCATCCTGTGTCTCATCACCCAGTGGAGTGTCAGATGTGCTTGTGGTGCTGAGGAGACTGGGCCGAGTGCTAGGCAGGGATCCCAGGAGGCCAGGTGGCGGGTCCTGCCTGCACCGCGTGGGGTTCTCACCTGATGAGAGCGGCTGTGCTGCCAGTGCCCAGGAAGGGTGCAGTGGAGTTGCTGCAGGACTGGCCTATCCCTTGTGGCCTGTCTGTGTCTGGCCCTCTTTTTATCTGGGCCCTGCTGTTTTGGGAAGCAGAGTGTCACGTGTGCGTGTGCTTGGTCCACAGCTCTGGGTCTTCAGCTTGGCCGAGAGACACCACTACCGCTGTGTAGTGCGTGTGGACCTGAAGAAGAGGAGAGAGAGCTTCTTCACTAGAAGGGTGAAGTCTGGGCTGTGCGGCCTGCCAGGTATGTTGCTTGACCTTCAGCTTTCCTGGGACACTGAATACTGTTGACAAGCTGGCAGAGTGGAGGGAAAGGATAGAGGAGAAAGTTCCCTATTTGGAAAGACTGCAGGGTCTCGACCTTGATGGACACCAGGGCTCAGACTAGTGGTGGCCAGTGGTGAGTGTCAATCTCCAGAGAGGACATACTCTGGGGGCAACAGTTGACCGGGTATCAGGGTTGTTGTACTGGGGTAGGTCCCAGCTCCACAGGCCTGGTGCCTTCCAGGGGCCTCTGCTCACTGCAGGTGCCTGCCTGCAGGCTGCCCAGAGCTGCTTCCCCGACCCTATCTGCAGCCCTGCCCAGATGCCCTGTGCATCTGTTTTATTGTCACAAAGGAGCTTGTAACTAAGGAGTGTGCTCTACATCGCTCCTGCCAAGTTCACCAGGAGGAACGCATGGCTTTCATCCTTTAATTCAGTTTTCTATGCTCTTCCTTAAGAGCACACATTGTGCTTTTATGTTTGGCCAACAGGTCTCGCTCTGCAGGTGTACACATTGATCTTAAGGCCATTATTATTATTATTAGTTTTAGTTTTTGCTATTTTGTGTATGATTTTAAACTGTTTCTTTTTATATTAGGTCTGAAATTACCTTTATCCAATATACATATTTTTAACTAATGCTTTGAACCTTGTTTCTTATCATTTCTCTTATGAATATTTACTGTGGATGTGAATCTCAGGGGATGGGGAGTTGGGCATTGAAGTGATCGGCTCCCTTCTCCCCCGTCTTTGGCTTCATACCTGAAATTCCGTTTCCTACAGACTGCCTCATATGGGGTGATTTCTAGTATTTTTGTTGACTCTGATTTGTTTTAGCAAGATATATTCACGTCATCTCTGGGTATCCATAGGTAGCCTTGAACCTTGATTGGCAGATTTAACTTCAGTCCTCAGACCATTAATAACTCTCTTCCCTAGAGGTGCGCCTGCTTCCCTCTACAAGTGAATTGGACACAGAAGGGGTAGAAGCAGCTTTTCCCGTCCTGAGACTCGCACCCTGCAACCTTTCACCCATCCTAGGTTCTGAAAACAGATTGTGAGTATGATGAGCTTTGACGGGAGCTGTGCAGAGCACACTTCTTAGTTATGTAAGTGAGTATTGAGTTTAGTTTTAAAGAATGGTTAAAAGGAAACCAAATTATTTTTGTCTCTTTGATTATTATTAACTGTAAGTGTTCTTAGGATCCTACATTTTTAAGTCTTAAACTTGGTAAGCTTGGTCAATTATATTTAAGTATCTTTAATTAAAGGAGTTAGATTATTTTTAGGTTTTTCTTACCCAAATCTAGGCAGATCTGTGCCTCTGTTACAGCAGCTGCCTGATCTTTGTGGCACCAGAACTGGTTTCGTGGAAGAATTTTTCCACAAAAATTTTCCAGGGGGGTTGGGGTATGGTTTCAGGATGATTCAAGCACATTACATCTCTACCTCAGCCCGTCAGGCATTAGGTTCTCAGGGCGGTGCAGCTGGGACCCCGCTCATACACTTTACTGCAGGGTCACCCTGTGGGACTCTGAGACCAGAAGGCTGCTGCTGATCTCACAGCAGGTGAATCGCAGGCGATTGGAGCGGCTATGAACACAGGTGCAGCTTCCCTCCTCACCTGTGCTCACCCCTGCTGTGTGGCCCAGTTCCTAACAGGCCAAGGACTGGTAATGGTGTGTGCCACCCGGGGATTGAGGCCTGCCACGCTGTGGCACTTCTTTAGAAAGGGAAAATGGTTGTCACAGTGTCCTAAACTTCCCTTTCCCCAGGTGTGCCATGTGTCATACATTTGAAATTAACTCCAAATAGATTTTATTTATTTTTGTGCTCAAGAGAAACATTATAACCATTTGACAACACCAGGAAGCCCTGTTCAGCTGTGACTAAAGAATATTGTCATACTAGTGTTCACAACCTCCCTAATCTCAGGAAGCCCTGGATTATGGATTTGCCTAAAAGGAACCTTTTGCCTTCTTGAGACTGGGTGTGAGGTGCATAGTGGACAGCCTGGCTTCAAGTGGTCTTGGCTTGGCTAGCGTTCCATACAGTGCAAACCCAGGGGGTAGGCACAGGAACAGAGCTTGGCTTGTCCCCTTGGCTGGTCAGGGCCCTGGGCACATTGAGCCCTCCATGTCCCTAGAACAGGAGGATCCACATGGTCAGTGCCATTCACAGTGGCAGTGGGCCAGCATGGCGCTGTGCTAGGGACACCAGGAAGGAGCCTGGGTGCTGTTCTGGCTGACTCAGGCTAGAGGTAGGGCCCAGACAGGGAAGGGCTAGAGAGAAAATTCCTGCTGGAGCCTTTCTCTAAGTCTAAGTGTAGCACAGTCAGAACAAGGCTTATTCATTTGTTTGTCAAGGATAACAATCAGACCGACGTTTGCAACTGGTTAACCCTGCTACTTTGGGCCATTAGCTGTCTCTTAGTCCTCAGGGGTAGGCAGCCAGCGTCATCTTCAGGAGTAGCGATGCCACCCTCACCTGAGCTGGGGCCTCATGAAGATGCAGACGCTAATTTCCTCTGTAACCCTAGTGGAAATGACAACCGCAGAGGTTAGAGTTGCATTACTTGTTTTATGTAGACAGTTAGTGGACCCTGAGGAGACCTGACACTGATTTTAATTCCAGCCTTGCCAAAACGTGGCTGTCTGTTAAAAGGCCCAGGGGACTGCCCAGCATGGGGACACCTGAGCCCATGCTCCTTTCCCTCCCTTGACTCTCAGCTGGGCAACTGCAGCACTGTGGGAGAGACTGGAGGGAATGAAAGTATGATAATCCTTTTTTTTTCCTTTAAAAATCAGTCTTTATTCTGGGAATACCAAAGGCTTGTGGATTGGAAGCTCAGCTGCTTTATTCGTATTTAACTTGGCAAACTTTGAATTGGAAGCTGTTTTACACTATAAGGGTAAGAGCATAAGTTCAAGTAATCTTTGACATAAATTTTGTGTGACTTTAATATTTTTCTTTGACTGGTAGTGTAGAAAGTCCCATCATTTGAATTTGAGGATATGACACCTTTAATCACTAGTGACAGAGGTTTCTCCTTGAGGGCATCAGGCCCTCTGTCAGCTCTGCTTTCCCCCGGGTAACTTCCCTACTTCTCTGTGTCTGTCCTTTGAGGCTCCTGTCTATATGGGGCTTCTGCTGCCCGCCTGGCACCACCCTTTGGCCTCATAGCTCAGACTGAAGGTGTCTGGAACTGAGCTGAAGTGCTCTCTGCTCCTGGGCCTCTCTCCTACACTTTCTGCCCCCACCAGTAACACAGGAACAGTTGGGGGACCTTTTCTTCCTCCCTCCCTCCCAGAAATCCAGTTCCTCAGCCCTGCTCCAGGGATGTCCAGCCCCTCAGCCCCACTCCAGGGCTACCTGCTCTGCCTGCTCAGCCATAGGCACCAGCCTGGCTTCTCACAGTAGGTCTGATCTTGACACCTCTGTGTCTTGACACCCTCTGAGGCCTCTGTTTCCAGGATGCAGTAGGAGTTCCTCAGCTGGGCCCCGGGCCCCCCGGGCTGCTTGGAAGTCTCTCTCCCTTGTCACCTGCTGTGCCATGGCCTGGCGGAACCCTCTCCTTCCCCCTCAGTGGCCGTGGTGCCTGCTCCTGGGGACTCGCCTCACTGGTCACTGTCTGATCCAGATGTGGTTCTCCTTGTGGCTCAGCCCTTCCTTCTTGGCTCTGCCCCAGCTTTCATGGTGCGTCCCACAGGAGCTCTGTACTTGACCTCTGGCTTCTCCGCTGGGCTGAGCCTCATGTCCATCCCACGTTATGTCCCCAGCCACCAGCATGGTGGTGCTAGGCTCTCAAATACTTGGGATGAATGTCTCAGTGAGTTCTTGGTCCCCTTCACCTATCCCTTCAACATTGTTTCTTTATCTTTGCTGAACACGAAGATTTTCAGAACCTCAGCATTCAAGTTGCAGGATCCTGTGCCATGATGGGCAGAACTACTGATCAGAAGGTCGGTCACCAGCATCTTCCATCTGTGTTCTGAGATGTGTGTCAATGCTTTTGATTCATGCTTATGTTCTGCAGCATAATAAGATAATAAGGGGCTCAGTGAATGAGATTTTTTTTTTTTTGAGACAGAGCCTCAAACTATCCCTTGGGTAGAGTACTGTGGCATCACAGCTCACAGCAACCTCCAACTTCTGGGCTCAAGCGAGTCTCCTGCCTCAGCCTCCCAAGTAGCTGGGACCACAGGCACCCGCCACAGCACCCGGCTATTTTTTGGTTGCAGCCGTCATTGTTGTTTGGCGGGCCCAGGCTGGATTCAAACCTGCCACCTTAGGTGTATGTGGCTGACGCCTTAGCCACTTGAGCCACAGGCTCCCAGTTGAGATTTTATATGTGAGAATTTTTATGAATTTCACAGTATGACGTGACCACTAACACCAGTCAAATAATGTGACTATTGGTATAAATGACACAGATTTAACCATCAGCACTCCAGGTGCACGTCACAGTCCCTGGTCACCCAGCAGCTCTGTTAATGATGTGCACGCCCTGCCCCTTGTAGGCACTTTGCCTGCTCGCATCCATGTTCGGGAAGAAGTTCGCTTTGCTGGAGATCGACCTGGCCATGCTAGTCAAGTCTCAGCAGTGCCCTGGTGCCAGGAAGCATCTCTCGGTGCTGGCCAGGTAGGGGCCCCTCAACAATGGTGTGTGTTTGTGCCAGTTAGCATTTTAGATTCCTTTTTATGTTAACAATAAAAGTAAAGTTTAGCAAACTTCCGAATATGCTAAGCTTGTTTGAAAGCATTTTTCATGCATGGCTTCCATTTTGTTTAAAACTAAATAAAACTAAAACATTTATTTTAACGTGAACCACTGTATTATTTCAGGATAGAATATAAATTAGCACTTTTTAAAAAAATTAATATTTTTACAAGAATAAGCTTGGTAGTTTTCATTTCCAAATATTGTGTACATATGTATAGCTCTCTGTATGAGTGAATCATTTATCGCTACCCTTAAACTACATGTTTCATTAAAATGATTCCATCATACAGTTGTTTTCCTCATGTGGTTTTATTTTATTTTAGCTCCTGTGTGCTACCAACCTCTCCGCTGTATTTTGGAATTGTTGAGGAAAAAAGCACTAACCCTGTTGGTCAAAAACGATCTGGTTAGTATAATGTACTCTGTGATGTAAAACTGCAGGGCGGGGGGTGGGGGGGCTCCCGGGACGGCTTGAGCACTGTGGCCGCTCCTGGAGTGCATCTCTGCTGGCGCCCGTTCCTCACGGCTTGAGCACTGTGGCCACTCCTGGAGTGCATCTCTGCTGGCGCCCGTTCCTCACGGCTTGAGCACTGTGGCCGCTCCTGGAGTGCTTCTCTGCTGGTGCCTGTTCCTCACGGCCTCCCTACTTTGCTCCTCGCTCCTCTCATATTTATTACATGCCATCTGTGGGAGGGAATATGCCAGATGTTTTTCTTCATGAATTGGGCATAGTTTCTGTAAATTCACAAGCACACTTGTCGTCTGACGGCTGTCTCTCTCGTGACGAGGGCAGTGGTGGTGCCTACTGGGGCCGCTAATGATTTAACACAAGAATAATTGTTTTCCCTTTTTTGTCTGTCGAAGAATCTTAAAGTCAATCCCAAACATCATGTCATTCTACTCCTGTTGCTTCCATGCTTATTTCTAAAACTTACAGGTTCTTATCTAGTCACAGTGACATTGTATCAAAACTAACAGTCATTTTTTGGTGCCTTGTATTAGCCAGTCCAAAATAAATTATTCCTGATTATCTTAAAATGTCATTTCATAGGTTTGTTCTAAATAGCAGGCAAATAAATCTGCATGCTACTTTTTTCAAAGAAATAATCTTAAAATTAGCTTACATTTTAAGCTGGTAACTTTATTATAAGACTAACTGATAATTACATTTTTTCCCTTTAGTGACCAATTTAAATTCTTAATCAGTCTTGTCAAACCTCAGTGGACCTAATTTAAAAATTTAAATGCTGCTTCATAGACACCTCCCTATGAGCTCCCTTGCCTCTCTGCCACAGCAGGAATCCCACCCACAAGAGGGCCCCTGACCTGGCCGCTCCTGTCTCCAGGACAGGTTGTGGTCAGCATCCTGGACCCTCCGTCTATCTCCACACTTTGAAATCCTGCTCTATGTAACTTCTTTCCATTTTCTGGTGTCTCATTTGCTCTTCACCCCTAGTAGTGTGGTTTGAACCATCTGTGCCCCTGTAATGGGTCTGGGATAGGACAGTGGTGAGCCCCAGCTTCCAGGTCTGGGGACAGGACCACAGTGAGCCCCAGATTCCAGGTCTGGGGACAGGACTGCAGTGAGCCCTAGATTCCAGGTCTGGGGACAGGACAGTGTTGAGCCCCAGCTTCCAGGTCTGGGGACAGGACCGCAGTGAGCCCCAGATTCCAGGTCTGGGACAGGACCACAGTGAGCCCCAGATTCCAGGTCTGGGACAGAACTGTGGTGAGCCCCAGATTCCAGGTCTGGGACAGGACAGTGGTGAGCC